TGTCAACTCTGGATGCAGGCCCAGCCGGCGTTAGCACTGCTAAGCTCCTGAACATCGCACATGTGGACCTCAAGGACAAATCCGGTCTCAAGTAACATTGGGCGCCCGAGTTATCCGGGGTAACTCGGGTCCGGGGTAACTCGGGTTTGGATTCCCGAAGAAGGAACCCGAGTTATCCCTGACCCGAGTTACCCCTGATGATTCGGGGCTCTGGACGCCCGAGTTATCCGGGGTAACTCGGGTCCGGGGTAACTCGGGTTCGGATTCCCGAAAAACGAACCCGAGTTATCCCTGACCCGAGTTACCCCTGATGATTCGGGGCTCTGATAACATGTCCTCGGCGCGCGCCCAAGGACAAACAGCAGCCAGACGTGAGCAACCCCACGCCGAGGGACGGACCGTCCCCGAGTCATCTTGGGCCGTCCTGCGGCCCTCTTGGGAGCCTCCTGTGAAGGGGCCCTGGGACACACAAATAAATACACACAAATAAAAAGATGCCCCATATTTTCGCATATTTTCTGGGTTTTTGTCTTCCCGCCCAATTCCCATATTTTCCCATATTTTCTGGGGAATCGACGATTATTTGTGTCTGTGTGTTTTTTCCCCTCCTGATCCTGGGCTGGCTTGGAGCGCTCCCGGCGGCCTCCTGAGCCCTCTTGGCCAGTCGGACGATGGACCGTGAGAGAACGCATGAATAGCTAAACGCTCATGGACAATCATTGTGTTTTGCCTCTTAAGGCCATCTCGGGGCCTCTCGGGCCGTCTCGAGGCCATCTTGGGTCGTCTTGGAGCGCGCTAGGACCCCCAGGACCCTCTTGAGACGTCTTGGAAGTAATCGTGGACCGTCGTGGACCCTCTTGGAGACCATGTTAGGGCAATATTGGGAAATCTTGGGGCCCTCTTGGGCCGCCTTGTTGGGCTTCGTTGGGCCCTCTTGGGGCCTTGCAAGAGCGATCCCAAAAAGATATTCGATATATCGCATTTGTTCGAGGATGTCCTTAGGGAAATCGCCGTTTTCGGCCCACAGAAATCAATTAGATATTGTCGGGCTGCCAGCATCCTCGAACTCCCCCAAGATCTCCTCCAGACGCACGGATCGCACGCGAAGCGCGCTGCCTGTTCTCAGCCGCCCCCTGCTGGCTTGCCACAAGGACGCACGGCGTGCAAGATGTCTGGGAGATGTCGGTTCTTTTCCAAAGAACTCCCACTTTTGGGCGCCCGAGTTATCCGGGGTAGCTCGGGCCCGGGGTAACTCGGGTTCGGAATCCCGAAAAGCGAACCCGAGTTAGCCCTGACCCGAGTTACCCCTGATGATTCGGGGCTCTGGACGCCCGAGTTATCCGGGGTAGCTCGGGCCCGGGGTAACTCGGGTTCGGAATCCCGAAAAGCGAACCCGAGTTGGCCCGGACCCGAGTTACCCCTGATGATTCGGGGCTCTGACAAGATGTCTGGGAGATGTCGGTTCTTTTCCAAGGAACTCCCCCGTGGGCTTCAGCCCAAGCCTCCGGCCACCCGCGGAGCTGCGCATAGCTGTGCCCTCCACTGGCCCGAACGCGCCCACGTCGGCCACAGTGGCCTCCAAGAGGACCTCCAGGATGTTCCAGGACGTCCCAGATGGCTCCCAGAGGGCTCAAGATGGCTCCAAAATGTCTCCAAGACGGCCCCGGATGCACCCAAGACGGCCTCCAAGAGGACCTCCAAGATGTTCCAGGACGTCCCAGATGGCTCCCAGAGGGCTCAAGATGGCTCCAAAATGTCTCCAAGACGGCCCCGGATGCACCCAAGACGGCCTCAGATGACCTCCAAGATGTTCCAGGACGTCCCAGATGGCTCCAGGAGAGCTCAAGATGGCTCCAAAATGTCTCCAAGACGGCCCCGGGTGCACCCAAGACGGCCTCAGATGGCCTCAAGATGGCCCCAGACGGCTCAGGAGACCCCCAAGATCGAGGCCCCCGGCACGGCCCAAGAGGCCCCCAAGAGGACAAGGCCTGGAGAGGCAAACATCTATGATTCATTTGAGTAGTTGCGCCTTTTCGGCGTGCGACGGCCTAAAACGGCCCAGCAGACCTCCAAGATAACCCGAAGATCGCCCACGAGGCTTCCATGAAGGCACCATGACGGCCTAAGAAGCCTCCAAGACGGTCCCCACAAGGCCCCAAGACGACCCGAGAGGCCCCCAAGACGCCCAGGATGGCATCCAAGACGTCCAAGATGGCCCCAAGAGGGCCCAAAATGGTTCCGAAATGTTTCCAAAACGGCCCTGGATGCACCCAAGACGGCCTAAAATGGCAACAGGGCGGCTCAGGAGGCTCTCGCGAGGCCTCCAAGACGGCTCAAGAAGCCTCCAAGAGGACGTACAAGAAGGCCGAAGAATTCAACACCTCTGAATTAGATTTGGTGTTTGATGGATTGCTGAAATCCCACCAGCCCTCTGGGCGTAGGTGGTTTAGGGAGTTTCCTCTTCCGTCTTCCCTTCTTCCCCTTCGGGGAGGGGTTTACCCCTCCCCCTAAACCCCTCCCCTGGACCTGGACGGGCCCGGTCGCGAGCGGTCAGAATGTCCAAGATGGCCCAGGATGGCTCCATGAGCGCCTCGGATAGTCCAAGATGACTTCCAAGATGGCTCAAGATAGCCTAAGATGCCGCAAGATGGCTCCGAAGATGCTCCAAGACGCTCTCAGAACGCTCCAAGACAGCTCCAAGAGGCCAATTATCTCCCCAAGGAGGCCCCCCAAGAAGCCAAAATCCTTCAAAAACTTAAGGAAAACCCAATGATTTTCGGCTTCTCGCCTTTTCGCTTCCGATGGCCATCTGAGGCCTCAACATGGCTCCAAGAGGGGCCAAGGAGGCCCCAAGAGGGGCCCAAGAGGGCCCCAAGACGGCCCCAAGAGCGCCCAAGAGCGCTCCAAGAGCGCCCCAAGAGGGGTCCAGGCGGCTATTTTGGGAGCTCCCGAGGGGCAGGGTTAATTAGGGAAACCCCCTTCTTTGATCGATCGCTTCCAAGATGGCCCCAAAGGGCGCCCAGGAGGCCCCCAAAGGCGCCAAGATGGCCCCAAGAGGCCCCAAGATGCCCCCAAGAGGCTCCAAGAGGCTCCCAGGATGGTTCCAAGAGGCCTCCAAGAGGCTCCAAGAGGCCGCCATGAAGCTCCAAGAGACCCCCAAGAGGCCCCAAGAGGCCTCCAACAGGCCCCCAAGAGCCCCCCAAGAGGATCCCAAGCGGCCTCAAGAGGCCCCCCCGAAGCACCCAAGACGCCCAAGAGCCCCCATTGACCGCCAAGAGACCCCCAAGACGCCCGAAGAGGCTTCCAAAAGGCTTCCAAGAGGCATCCGAGCGGCATTCAACCATCCACCCAGCGTCATCATTCTCCTCATCCCTCCTTCGCTCGGTTCCTCGCCACCCCCTCATCTATCCATCTGGCCTCCTCTTCCGCCTCGTCCTTTGCACGGATCGGCTGTCCCTCTCGTTGATCCCCCACTTCCCTGATCTCTTCAACTTGCCTGGACATCGTTTCTGGATGGGCTGGTGGGGATACGCGAAGCGTCAAGAATTTCTCTTTTCCTGCGTCCGACAACTCAAAACGGCCCAACCGACCTCCAAGATAACCCGCAGACCGTTCACGAGGCTTCCAAGAGGGTCCCATGATGGTTCAAAAGGCCTCCAAAACAACCCCCACAGGGCCCCAAGAGAGTCCGAAGGCCCCCTCGACGCTCAGGATAACCTCCAAAACGGCCAACATGACCCCATCAGAGCCCAAGGTGGCCCGATGATGTCTCCAAGACGGCCCACGATGCATCCAAGACGGCCTCAGATGGCCTCAAGATGGCCCCAGAGGCCACCGAGAGGTCTCCAAAAGGTATCGAAGACGGCCCAAGAGGCCTCCAAGAGACCATGCAGGAAGTTCCGAAGAGTCCCGAATCAATTATGTTCCATAGGTTGTTCGAGGATTTTGGCATGTGTTTCTTTTCGCCTGTCCGACGGCTCAAGATGGCCCAACAGGCCCCCAAGATGGCCCGACGATCGCCCAAGAGGCTTCCATGAGGGCCCCACCACGGCCATGGAGGCCCCCAAGACGCCCGCGATGGCCTCCACGACGGCCAAGATGGCCCCAAGAGAACGCAACATGGCCGCAAGTTGTTTCCAAGACGGCGCAAAATACACTCGAGACGGCCTAAGGTGGCCTCAAAACGGCCACAAACAGACGAGAAAGGTCCAGACCCCATCTGGACGGTTCAGATCCCAAATAGACGGTCCAGATCCCAATCGGTAATAAAGCAAGAACGGCCCCGATCCTCACCATCCTTGTTTGAGCGCACGAGCGCTGGAAGCGCTTGGAAGGCGCCACATAGTCACCTCTGACCAGCGTGCAGGTTTTACGTGCAAAGGGTCGCCCGGCCCTTTGGCCAGCAGCGCGGTGTCCTCTGCACGAAGGTCGCTCAGCGCAAACAAGCGCACCTGGAACTCATCACGAACCCGCGGCGGCGCCGCTAACCGCAAACGAATAACCAACGCGCAGAAACTGGTAACGGGACGTTTGCACTGGTGGTGGCGTCTGGAACAAACAACGCCGCGCGTGGACGACTTACCTCTGTAGACGCTGGCTGGAGGATGCCAGGGCCGCCGTCGACTGGAAGGAGGTGGCCCGCAAAGTCGTCGAGCCTGCGGAGATTGCCCGCCTCGCTGACACAGGCGCCAAGGTAGTGCGCCATCGCATCACAGCGATCCGGGGGGAACTTGCCGAGCCCACGACCCGCCCGCACAGAGGGGGCCCTGACGCGGACCCACTCCGCAGCTACATATACCGTGGCTTCGTTGCTGGACATCATCCCGCCGTAGCACCCCCGACGCCCCGCCTCCGTGGAGGGCGCGGCGACCCGCGGGCGAGGCAGCCGTTTTCCAACATTGGAGTGCCTCCTAGAAACTCATGTGCTACTGCGCGTCCCAGTTCTGAATCCGGCCGTGCCGACGAGGGCATGCCAGGGGGACCCAGAAATTCCACTGCGTTCAGTCGTCCCCGGGAGAGAAAAGTGCTGACCAGGCACAATAGAATGAAATACGATACTGCACGCTGCATTGACGAAACAAGTTTGCTGTTGCCAGCGGCGCCATGCCGGCTACGAAGGCGTTTCTTGGTTCGTCGGGAAACCATGGCGCTGGGTCGGCCAAGGGGACGTCCAATCATGGTTCTTGGATACGCGTACAGAGCGCGGGCATCCAAAACCGAACGATGACCGAATGCGGGTTGGCGGCGCGGCCTCGCGGACACTCGGCTCTCGCCCGGACTGGCAACACCATGCGAGGACAGGGCGAGCGATTTTGCAAGGCCCCGCGCGCCTTCTCGGCTGCGTGCAGAAGTCCCGTGGGTCCTCTACCGCTGCCTGGGGATTATTCTAAGGTTTCCTGAAGGATACCGGAAGAATCCTGAAGGGCTCCTGAGGATTCCTCGAAGGCTTCCCGATGGATTCTTAACGGATTCCTGAGGCATTCCTGATGGATTCTTGAGGATTGCCGAAGGATCCCAAAGATTCCTCAAGATTTCTTGAAAGATTCATTGAGGCTCCTGAGGATTCCAAGGATTTCCTTCGGGCTTCCCAAAAGAATCTTGCAAATTATTTAAATATTCCTATGGGATACTGAGGATTCCAAAGGGATGACCGACAAATCTTCAAGGATTCCTTAAAAGGATGCCTGCGGATTCCTAAAGATCTTGAAGGATTCCGATCCGAGAATACTTTGAGATTATTCAGGCGTTGCTGAAGAATTCAACGGTTTCCTGCGGAATCCCTGAGGATTCCTACGGGATTCGTGAGGATTCCTTTGGGATTTCTGCAAAAAATCCTGACAGTACCTGATGGACGGCTGAAGGTTCCTCAGGGATTCCCAAGGGTTCCCTAACGGCTTCCTGAGGATTCCTGACGGATTCCCGAAGTGTTCCTGCAGATTCCTCTAAGGCTTCTTTCCTCGAAAGCTTCTCGGTGGATTCCTGAGGGGGTCCTGGGGGATTCCTGCAGGGTTCCTGAAGATCCCCGAGAGATTCCCGAGGAATTCCTCTGGCTTCCCCTGAGGGTTCCTTGAGGATCCCCGAAGGATTCCAATTGCAAGGATTCCTGAATGGGGGTTCACGGTCGTAGATGTGTCAGAAGACGTTGGGTATTCGTTTCGTGCACGCTGGGCATGCGTTTCCAATGCGTTTCTGGAAAAAAACGCATGCGCTTCGCATGCGTTTCTGCTACCTGTCGGGTACACGTCCCATACGTTTTGTTTACGTTTGATATAAGCTTCGTATACGTTTGTGCACGGCTTCGTGTCTTGAACCAATATAAGGCCCTCCTGGGGTCCTTGGAACCCGCACATAGTAACGCACTGGAACAGCCTAGATCCCAACTGCGCACTATGAAAACAAGTGACATCCCCTGAGGGGAACGACTCGGCTTTCATTGCCAAGGCGATCATGCAATAAGGTCTTACATCGTTGTGTCTGGCGATTGGGATCTGAACCGTCTCGGTCTTCTCACTGGTTGGGATCTGGACCGTTCGGTTGTGATCTGGACCACCCCGTTGGGATCTGGCCCAATCGCACGGCCCAAGGCCCCCCGGGGGCCCCAAAGACGGCCCAAGAGGCCCCAAGAGGACATACAGGAAGGCGCGCAGAGGCCAAAATCATAGATTTCCTTGCGTGTTGAAGGGATGTGGCATATGCTCTTTTTCGGCGTCCGACGGCCCAAGACAATCGAAGATGCCCCCGAGATCCCCCAAAAATCGCCCAAGAGGCCTCTAAGATGGCCCCACGACGGCCCCAGAGGCTCCCAAGACGGCCCGAGAGGCCATCAAGACAGTCTACAAGACGCCCAAGATGGCCTCCAAGACGGCCCTGAAGCGCCCCAAGAGAACCCCAGATGGACGCAATATGTCTCCAGGACGGCCCTGAATATGCACCCCAGACGGCCGAGGATTGCCTCAAGACAAGACGGCCCAAGAGGCCCCCAAGAGGTCCGCCAGAAGGCCCCAAGAGGCCCGGATCATTGATTGCCCATCGGTTTTCGACGGAATGTGGCAATAGCTTCAAAACGGCCTTCCGATGGCCCAAGACGGCCCAAGAGGCTCCCGAAATCGCCCAAGAGGCTTCAAAGATGGCCCCGTGACGGCCCAAGAAGCCTCCAAGATGGCACCGTCAGGGCCCACAGACGGCCCAAGAAACCCCCAAGACGTCCACGATGGTATCCAAGATGGATCAGATGGGCCCAACAAAAACCAAAGGTAGCCGCACGTTGTTTCCAAGACGACCCATAATGCAGCCAAGACGGCCTAAGATGGCCTCAAGATGGCCCAAGACGGCTCAAAAGGCCCCCAAAGAGGCTTCCCAGAGGTTCTCCAGGAAGGCCCGAAGATGTCTAAATAATATATATATATATTATATATATATATATATATATATATATACATATATATATATATGTGTATATATATATATATATATATATATATATATATTAGCACCTCGCTTGCCCGTCCAGGAGGCTTCAGCGTGCTAGGCGTAGCCATCATCAAGGCAGGCTCCTGCCTCGACGCGTGCAGCGCTACGGCCACACAGCACAGTCGAGAGCGAGGCCAAGCAAACCACCTCTGCGGCTAGCTCGGACCCCGCTCGCCTCACGCTCTCACTTTCTTCGAAAAGAGACCACCTTTGCCTTTGCCACTCCCCTTCGCACTGTCAGATCCGAATGCAATCTTCGCCACATGTTTAGCTGCTTTGCTCCTCGGACCGTGGTCGAAGTCCAGCTCTAAGCCGATGCCGCGGAATAGCTGTGCCTCACGAGACTGCATCAACAATGACTCTATCTCGCGGCACAAGGGAATGGCAAATATCCACTTAGTCATGGCCACGTCGTCCTGGAGGCCGTCCTCGGCGTTTTGGCTGTACTCGATCTTGAAGCATCGCGATGCCCGAAACTTCGGGGGCAACGCCGACGCCTGTTTGCCGAACACCACGAACTGGTCCAGCAGGGCGGAGGCCGCCGCTGGCGCTGTGTCCGCGAGCTCCTGCTTCTGCACCCTCTCCTTGATCTTCTCCAAGATTGCTTTCCTCGGCTCTGACTTCTCGGCCTGTCCTCCCAGTCGGAAGAGCATGCCCGAAAAAAGAGCCACTGGCTTCTTGCCGAACGGGTTCCCCTTGAACTCCACGCCCTTGACCTTTGCGTCCTGGCGCGCGTCCACGCCCGACTTGTCGTACTGCTCGATGGTCCAGTCCATCACCTGCATGAACTCGCTGTCCGACTTGCCCTCGAGCAGGAAGTGCTGAGCCCTGCTCTGGATCGCGCGCTCCTCGTCGAGCTGGATCGTCAGCGTGGCCATCGCCTCCATCAACTGGAGCTCCTGCACGCGTCGGCGGCCACGCGACCGCGCCCTTGTCCTTGCCGTCCTTGTCCTTGCCTTCCGCTGGGCCTGCCTCGGCCGCGGCCTCGACCCCGCCCTTCTTCGCGTCCTTCACCTCCCGCCCCGACGGGTCGTCGGTTGCCTTCCGTGTCGGGCGGCCTGGGGTGCTGAACATCGCCTCCCTCTGGCACAGGTGGCGCTGCCGCGGGTGCAACTGAACCGTCTGAGAAAAAAGGGCAGCGGAGGAGACGAATGTGTTTCACCAGACAATCTCGCCGACTGAATTTAGCTTGGCAATGGGGGCACTCAGTAACACCACGAGGTATAAGATCGAACGCCTGATGAGCATTCGCTTGATGAATGTGGAGCCCACGAGGTCCAGAACAAACAACACCACACTGCGGGCACACAATCTTCTCAACATCTGCAGTCTCAGTCGGCGCCGCACGGAAGGACAAGTGGGCCCGAAAGGTGGAGCGCGGCTCTCGGGCAAGCCACTCAAGCCACGGCTTAGACAGCACACCTGCCTCGCGATCCACGCCCAAAGATACTGCGCGAGCTCGGGCTTCTTCCTTTGCCCCCTCGAACACTGTCAGGAGGTCTTCGCGCAGCCTGATCTGTCGGGGTGTGAAATCTTCTCGCTCGCCTTCAAATTCGAACGACCCGAAAACAGCTGCGCGCACAGCAACAGCGGGGTCATCCTCACAGGTGCCCAAGAGCGGATCGCCTTCATCGTCGAGCAAGGCTGGGGCAACAACCTTCTGCATCCAAAGACAACGACGAACAAGAAGAGTAGATTCAACACTATTGACGCCACAACGCTCACGAGGGCCATTAGAGGATACTCTCGATATATGCGCAGGAAGCCGAGCGATATGCCTGAGACATCGAATCTGAAAGCGTTCCAGTTTCTCAAGACCTCCAAGGCTGATTCGGCGGGCCTCCATGGCATACAAGAGAATAGAGCGGACCAGTGCCACCCACAGACGAGCTTTCAACTTGGGGGGTAGCACCTTAGAGCGCCACAGACGGGTAGTTAGCCTATGATGGGCCACTCGAGCTTTCTTAATACGAGCCTCGACCTCAACCAAGTCACTGCCCATAATCGATATCATAGAGCCCAGATATTTAGCAGACTGCGTGGCCTTGATGGGGACTTCAGGGGCACCGGGAGTAGGGCCACGAAGCACGAGACGATATTGACCTTGGCGGATCTTTTTGTTCATTGCCCTGGACCCCAATCCAAAAGCTCTGATGGTGACCTCCAGCTTAGACATGTTCACCCCGAACCCCGCCTCCGACAAGATAGTACCTATGTTCGAGAGGAACGGGATGATCGCGTCAGCGTCGGTGAAAATCTCCATCGCACTCAAATCGTCCATACAAAGGGTCTCTCCCAGGGATATCTGATCGGGAAATCGAGCACCAGACCCCAAGAGATTCCCTAAGTTAGTGTCGAAGGTCGCAATCAAGGAATGGTCGCCTCGCTCGCGCTGTATCTTACGGATGGTGAGATCGTACAGGAGGATGAAGCACAAGGGTCCCTCAGACGAGCCCTGACGAACTCCCAGCTGACTCCGCAGCAGCCGAACGACACGACCTGTTTTCACATCACGGATGAGAATGCATGCACCATCATGGATGCCCTCTAAGAACAACAACAAATCATCGCGAAGAAACAGAGCACGCATTGCCTCCCAGAGCTTACAGCGATCGATCTTGTCAAAGGCTTTGGACAGATCGAAGAGGCTTTGAATTATGATGAATAACTTCTGGTCATGCCGCTTGCTTTTGGCCCTCTTGGCCGCGGCGGCTGCCACGCGCTCAATGACTTCCTCAACTATGGCAATAGCATCACGAGTGCCACGGTGAGGGAGCCCACCGAACTGGATACGGCTAATGCGCTGAGCAATCACACCCTCCGAATCACCAAGAAACTCCTTCACAATTTTCTTACCCCAATGGCTAAGCATGCTCAAGGTGCGATAATGTTCGCCAGCATCTGACCCGTCACCTTTGCCAGGCTTGCGAAGGTAGACCGCCTCACCATCTTTGAAAGACATCGGCGCCTGGCGGGCGGAAACCATGCCAGTGCTGGCAATAGCTAGTGGTGAGGAAATCTGAGATCTGACGAGTTTGTACAGCTCAGCCACCGCACCCCTGCACATCTGAGTCTGGGCCGGCGCCTAAATGGCAAGGCCCACCTTGAAGTTCGGCATCGTGTGGATCATATCCTCGACCATATGCTCAGTGAACGCAAAGGGCGCCACTACCTCAGTGCCCTCATTCACTCCGATAACTCTCCGTCGAGTAACCTCCTCATGCAACGGCAAATCTTCTGCTTCAAAAATCTCCTTCATGGCAATAGCTTTAGCCTCAATCTCCTCTTGCGATCGCCAAAAATACTGTCCATTTAACTTCAATGTTGCTGCAGATGATGATGTTTTGGGCGCTAAAGACTGCGCAATCTTAAAGGCTCCGCGGGTGTCTCCACAAAATAATAATCTTTCTGCCTCTACGGCCAATACCTCAGCGTTGGCCTTCTTGTCTGCACGAATGGCCGCTTTCGCTCTCTTCGTTGCCAATCGATATTGGTGCATCACAAAGAAACGCTGTGCTGAATATTCCAGTGTATCCATAAACTCACCATCCGCTAATATCTTCATCCATCGATGTTTCTCTGCTACCAGCTTCAACGTGGTCTCTTGCAGCACATTCAATCGTCGGGTAGACTGAGTACCAGGCTGCTGGATGAAGCCCGCGCCCATGGCCGAGCGAACGATAACATCCTCGAGGTAGTCGTACGGGTCGACGGGCGAGGCCTGGTGTAGGAAGGCAGTGACACGCTCGGCCACTTCATGACGCATCCGCATCACCTGCTGCGCGATCTCGGAGTCGTGGTGCGCATCTGGGTTCTCATCGAGCTTCTTAGCGATCTTGACCGCTTCGCCCAGGAGAGGCCTGTTCCACCGAGGAACGGCCTTGGGCGATCTGGTCGGGTACCATGGTGGCAATCTGGAAAGGCCATCGATAGGTCTGTGGTCTCTGTATCCACCCAAGCTGACAGGAGAAGAATAATCCACCACTGCTGACATACCAGGGGAGCGAGAAATGCGACAACTCAAGAAGCTCGCTCTGCAATGATATCCACTGGGATGCTTCCACGTCCAATGAAAGTGCCTGTTCGAGTTGAATGTGTTGAGTGCCTTCAGATGATAATCTCTCAAAACGGATGTGAGCTTACTATTCCTCTGGTCACCATGTCCAATGAAGGGAGGCTCGCATTTCAAATCACCATTGTTGTCAATACCCAAAATCAGAGTAGAACGTGTGTGTTGTGTCAGACTGTGGAGTGCAGTACCCATACTGAGCCAAAACTCACGCTGGTCCTCTTGAAGTTCTTTCTGGCTTGGCTGAACTGAAGAAGGTGCATTGCCAGAAAGAAGGTCAAGGTCTCGCTCGTGCCGTCCTTTTCCGCAACGGATTCGGATGCCTCCCAGCTTACCCCTCAACCAAGTGTGTTTGCAAACTATGGGGTCGGAGCCAAACATATCTAAGTCCACGCATATCATAAGGCCATCTCTTGGCTGAGGCGTAGAGCGCGGAAAGGGAACGACACGGTAATCCTGAGATTTCCACTCGATATCAATATCCATAGAAGTGCCCTGCAACATAAGAACATGAATCTCGGAGGTGCGTGCGAGTCGAAGCAGTTCGTCGATTCTCCCAACAACTCGCAGGCTCTCACAATTATAAGTACGTGCGCTTATCTGGTGTACGCCGTCCAATACCTGAGCAGGTCGCGGCCGTCGAACTCGATGGAAATCAGATGCAGTCGGCAAGCCAAGCACCTCGGCATCCCTGGACTTCGTGCCAAGGGCCACATGCACGCTCTGGAGGGTAGCGAAGTCGGCGAGCTGGGTAGCCTGCACAAGATCGTACTGTCGGCCTTTGTGCCGACAAGTGCCGTTCATGAACAGGTTGCGAATGGCTCGCCTCGTCGACCATTTGACGACAGTCATGCCCGCATTCTCCAGCTCGGTACTCATGATGCCGCTAGTGTGCTGGATGCGCGATCCGTGGGCTCGAATCGCACCCTCGGCTCCCACCAGTCACTGCGTGGACAGAGAAATCTCCATCGGCGCCCAGACTTGGGACTGGGACCCTGGGCTCTGTTGGGTTGGCTGCTCCAGGGTGGACCGACCTGCTCGGCAAAGATCCTGAGAGAGGAATGACAGCAGTCGGCCCCCCCGAGGGGGGTACCCCCAGGTGGAGCCTTTTTTTTTTTTTTATATATATATATATATATATATATATATATATATCCACCGGCTTTTAACAGATTCGGGCGTTTGCTCACTTTCGGCGCTCGCGTGGCCCCAGGCAGCGCCAAAGGCCGCCAAGACGGCCCCAAAAGCGCCCAAGGGGCCTCCCAGACTCGGGGGCGCGCAAACATGGATTAGCGATCCATGGATCTGGCGCGCACCTCCCCAAAATGCGGCAGGCGCCGCCTCGCTCGGCAGCAGAACTCCGCGACTCCCCATGGAAGCGGGGCCCGTCGCTGATCCACGCCCCCCTTGATCCATGTTTGCGATCGCCTGGCCTGAAGCAGCGCCCACCACGCAAGCACCGAAAACAAACAAAAACGTCAATTTGTGTGTTTGACGAGCCTTGCAGTTCTGGTCCTCTCTCGAGGTTCACAGTGCCCTCGGGGGTCTGCTAACCCGGGTCAATCCAAACCCGGGTCAGCAGGAAACCAAAAAACTGCAATGCAGGAAAAAAAAGCTGCAACGCAGGGCTTCGCAAACCCGGGTCAGCCAATAGGCGCGGCCGCCTCGCGGCCACGAGCGGCTCGCAAACCCGGGTCAGCCAGAGGGTGTCTTCGCAGGATCCTGCAAGATCTGGCGCTCTGGCTGACCCCCGTTTGCATTGACCCCCGTCTCATGGCTCCCGATGGCCTCGGCCGATCGCGGCGCCGGCCCTGAGGTGGAGGCCTCTCGCGTCGGCTCGCCTGCCCCAAGATGGCCCCCAAGAGAGCCCAGGGACGCGCAAGAGGTGGCCTCCGCCTCCTCCTCCTCCTCCTCCTCCTCCTCCTCCTCCTCCACGAGAGCTGGGATGGCCTCCAAGACGGTCCCAAGACGCCTCCAAGACGGCTCTGACAACCCCAACCAAGAAGGCTCAAGATGGCCTCAATGTGCCTCCAAGGCTGCCCAAGAGGACCCCGAGACGCCTCAAGAGGGCTGCAAAAGGACCTCCAGGAAGAGAAAATCATAGATCGCATGTGTTTTTGTATGATTTTAGCATCCTCGCCTTTCCGTGCTTCCGTCGCGCCAATACGGCTTAATAGGCTTCCAGGATCGCCCCAAGATGGCCCAAGAGGCCCGCAAGAGGCCCGCAAGACGACCCAAGAGGGCCCCAAGACGGCCTGAGAGGGCCCCAATACGGCCTCATACACCTCCAAGACGGCCCCAAAACGCACAAAGAAGGAACCACGACTGCCCAGAAAGGAACCCAAGACGGCATCCGAAGGCTAAGGGCCCCCTTGGAGGCCCCTAAGAGGCCCCCAAGAGGTCCCAAGAGGCCACCAAGAGGCCCCAGGAGGCCTCCAAGAGGTCCTTCAGAGGCTCCCAAGAGGCTCCCAAGAGGCTCCCGAGAGACCCCTAGAAAGCCCCCAGGAAGCCGCAAGGGAGCCTCAAGAGGCCTCCTCTTTTCTTCCTCCTCCTCCCCCTTCTCCGCCTCCTCCTCCTCAGTCTCCTCCTCCTTTTTCTTCCTCTCCCAAGTGTTCCCCCGATGGGGGAACACTTCGGGCAATAGCTTGGCAAGACTTCGGCACAACGCTTGGCCGCACGGGCGCTTCCAGAAGGCAGGGAGCTGCGGTGATTCGTCGAAGGCGTCTTCAATAAGGGTACCTCGCCAGATCTAGGAATCGGTCGGGCATGTCCCTCTACAGGCGGGTTCTGGCCGAACACTGCCGCAGAGCCCAAAAAAGATCCAGGAACGGTCAGACAGTGGCAGAACACCGCCCCCTTTGGACTATGTTTGGACTATGCTTGGACTATGCTTGGACTATGCTTGGACTATGTTTGGACTATGTTTGGACTATGTTTGGACTATGTTTGGACTATGCTTGGACTATGCTTGGACTATGCTTGGACTATTTCTTTTTGGATATCCCCCCTGCAGGAGGGGACACGCCCGGCTCCGCCGGGCCGGCGCGTGTCGCCCTGGCGTGCAAGCGTTCGGGAGGGGAACGACACACAGAGAGGGCGGGGGGTAGGGGTGAGGTGGAGGGGGAGTAGGAGGAGTAGGAGGAGGAGGAGGAGGAGGAGGAGGAGGAGGAGGAGGAGGAGGAGGAGGATCTGGGCCCCGCATCGGCCTGGCCGGGAGCGTGGCCGGGGCCCCGCGGGGAGGGCGGCGCGCGCGGGCCCGCGCAGGGGAGGCACCCCCGCCGCGGGCGGAGGAGGAGGCGCGGGAGGCGCGAGCCCGCGGGGGGACGCGGACCCAGAGATCCAACGCATTGAAAAAATCAAGACGGAGGTTTTTCACAATTTTCGGCCTCAAGGGGCCCTCGCCGGGCCCTGGGACCGTCAAAAAACGACTCAGGATGAAAAACCGGTCCCGGGGAACGGGTCGAGACCTCCGGGGGCCCCGTATTGAAAAAATCACGACGTCGGATCCCTGGGGACGCGCGCGGGAGGACCCGCCGCCGTGCCTGCGAGGCGCGAGCTCCTGGGGTGAAGTCGGGCCTGTCCCTCTACAAGGGGGGGGGAGTAGTCAAGCACAGCCAGAACAGAGTCTGGGGACGATGCTCTGAGCATCTCTGTTGGCCACCTTGCGGGTATTTTCTGGCGTATTTTGAACTTTTCGTCCAGAATCCCCCTGTAGGGGGACAGGCCCGACTAAACTCCAGGGGAACGAAGCATGGCATAAACATAAAAACTCGGAGGTCCGCGCGGATTTCTGGGAGCCGCGCTGGGGCCCCCTGGCGCGCTCCGCGCGGCAGGGAGGGGGGTCCAGCGCCGATCCGAGGTATCCGCGCGGGCACTCCGAGTTTTTATGCTTATGTCACTTGTCGTTCCCCTATGCGAGGCGTGAGCTGGCGTGCTCCCAGGTCCCTTGCTCAATCCTGAGCCTCTGCCCTCCATCCTGAGGATCTTCGCGAGGGCCCGGGCCCCGAATCCTCAACTCTCCTGGGGCTCCCGGCGCGCCGGGAGCGTCTTCCCGCATACTTCTTCGGGCCCACGAGGGCCCAAAGACAGGCCTCGAGGGCCCAAGAGACCCTTAAGAAGCCTCCCAGACGTCCCAAGAGGCCCCCAAGGGGGCTTCCAGGAAGGCCCGAAAAGGCCAAAATTATTGAATCCCACCAGCCCTTTGGGCGTGAGTGGTTTAGCGAGCTCTCTCTGTTCTCAACCCCCCTTCTTCCCCTTCGGGGAGGGGTTTACCCCTCCCCCTACCCCCTCCCCCTGGACCTGGAGAGGGGGTCCGGCGGGTCGTCAGGGGGGTCAATTTCGACTCCTGGGAGGGCTAAAAAACGACACCCCTCACGAGGATTCTGCCCCCGACGGGGGGACGCCGAAAAAACCCTCTCCTCTTCTGTGAAGCCAAAATCATTGATTTTACTACGGTTTCGGCCCCATTTTGGCCTTCTGAGGGGGCAGCGCTCCTCTTCCTTGTTTTCAAAATCATTGATTTTACGCAGGTTTTGGGCTCATTTTGTCCTTCTCAGGGGGTAGCGCTCATTTGCGCTTCTGAGGAGGTCGCAAGAGGCCCCAAGATGGCCCCAAGATGCCCCCAGGAGGCTCCCAAGAGGCCTCCAAGAGGCCCCCAAGAGGCCCCCAAGAGGCCCCCACAGGCTCCCAACAGGCCCCCAAGAGGCCCCCAAGAGGCCCCAAGAGGCCCCAAGAGGCCCCCAAGAGGCCCCCAAGAGGCCCCCAAGAGGCCCCCAAGAGGCCCCAAGAGGCCCCCAAGAGGCCCCCAAGAGGCCCCACGAGGAGCCCGAACGACTCACACCAGGACGAGGGGCCCGAACGACTCACACCACGAAGAGCCCGAACGACTCACACCACAAGGAGGGGCCCGAACGACTCATACCAGGACGAGGCGCCCGAACGACTCACACCACGAGGAGCCCGAACGACTCACACCACGACGCGGGCCCCGAACGACTCACACCACGAGGAGCCCGAACGAGTCACACCAGGAGGAGGGGCCCGAACGACTCACACCAGGATGAGGGGCCCGAACAACTCACACCACGAGAAGCCCGAACGACTCACACCAGGACGAAGAGCCCGAACGACTCACACCACGAAGAGCCCGAACGACTCACACCAGGAAGAAGGGCCCGAACGACTCACACCAGGACGAGAAACCCCAAACGACTCAAATCACGAGGAGCGCTTTCTCTCCCTCCTCCTCCGCCTCGTCCTTCTCCCGCTCCCCCCACAAGGAGGATGTACAAGGAGGCGGGAGGAAGGAGGAACAGGGGAGATATGCGGGGCCAAGCGGACACACGCCTGAAAAACACGACTGTCGGCATGCTTCGCAAGAGTTGCTGCTGTGAGATGGGCTGGTGGGGATACGCGAAGCGTAAAGAATTTCCTCAAGGTTCGGGAGGGTTTTTAGCTTTGATTATTTTCGGCCTTCCGACGGCCCGAGACGGCAGTAGAGCCCCCCAATGTTGCCCCAAATGCGACTGTTCGCCGCGGCGCAAGAATTCCGCCGCGCGTGCGACGCAAGAATTCCGCAATCCGCTCGGCGCCGCGCGCCAACTCCCGCGCGAACACCTCATTCTGAGACAGCAGCTGGTGCGACGCACGAATCCCCACCCCGCAAATGCAGCGCGCGCCCCCCCCCCACCCCGCGCCCGCGAGCTCTGCCGAGTCGCGCGGGGAAGCTGCTTGGCGCACCGCGCAGCGATGCGCGATACTTCGATGACCGAGCTAGGCCCCCGAGCATCGAGAGAGCGTCCTGCGCACGCAACGGCCCAAGGGGCCTCTTGGGGTCCTCCCTCTAGGGGACCTCTCGGCCTTTGGATGCCGTCTTGGGG